TATAATAAAATCAACACTCTATAGGAGGGATAAGAAAAAAGTTACTTGCAATATCACAACAGCAACAGTCTTGTCAAGCATGGGCTTTCTCACAAACTTTGGCCAACTATTAAAATTTGGGTACTTCCGTTAATGTTTGTTCCACCTCCTGCGAACAATAAGAATACAAGATTCAATTATTAAAGCCAAAGGCAATATCATAAATAGGCATTTAGAAAATGCAAAATGAATGGCTAAGCTTAGATTTTAATAGTTTCATGTAACTTAATTCATAATTGTGTTTTTGGCAGCAGTTACATCTAAAAAAAAAAAAAAAAATTAAACTTATTTAATAATAATTTACCTCTAATTAGCATTAACATTTTCTAATTCGGATACCATCTAACCATTAATGTCATACCTAGGAGTGGACGGGTCTGGGTACCTGCCCAAATCCCATTGAAACGGAATCAGAAACGGAACAGGTCGGTTCTTGGGATTTGGAACCGGAACCAGTTAATCTTGAAACATAACGCAATGGAAAACTCTTCAGTCTCTTCTAAATTCAAGGTTTATATAAACACACAAAATATTATATATATCATAAAGAATTAGTAATCTTTTAACAATTTTTAAATACATATACTTGGAAGTATGAGCTTTTCGATCTCACTTGAGTCCAACTATGGCTGAAGTTCTTCACACCTTAGAGAGTGAGGACAAAGGAGATTAAGAGACACCACAAGTAGTCTATTGGGAGATAGATGTTTGAGGAGAAAAACTTCAACTACACAACGAAAATTATATTCAGTTGATTTTGGAAATATTTTTTGGCTGTTTGGGAACATTGTTCAGAAAACAACTAAAAATATTATATAGAAAGCATCTGAACTACTCTATTAATAGTTTGTGTGTGTATATATACCTAAATGTGTGAGAGGTTTTCAACACTGATTCCAACTACAGCTGAATTTATTCATACGTTGTCGAAGTTTTCAAAATTTTCAATTTGATGTGATTTGCGATAGGAGTGCAAAAGATAAAGATGGTAGCTGGGTTTTTAAGTTTCATGCATTATGCTCATTCTTGCCCTCACCCTCGCTCACTTTCTGTTAGTCATTAACAATCACCATGCTCATCAAACCCAAGCACCCAATCCCTCCCCATAAAACTCCTCTCGTGGGCTTGTAGAGCGTGAGATAATCTTATACCAAAATCCTTACGAATCACCTTTTTTTAATTGACATGCGATTTGCCATTGTCTTGCTTACCCATTTAAGATAAGTATTGAACAAATGTCTGGGTATTGCTTTGTTGGCCGCTCCTCTGTTGTTATAGGCCTAGGCTGTAGCTTGGCTTTAAATGTCTTCCACCATGAACCAATTGTATGGGCAAAAAATCGTCTCGTTCTTTGTCGGTTTTTTCCTCCTTTGCGGCATTGACGACAACCTGTGGCGATGTGTCCCATGTGTCACTCTTCTTTAAGTGCCAGTTTCCATGGCCTTTAGTGATTGCCAAACTAGACATTCCCGTATAGGTGAACCTGAAACTTGTGTATAAGAGCATCACACGCTTGTAGCTCACGTGAGGAATTTCATAGGGAGGGATTGGGTACATGGGTTTCTGGTTGTTGTTAGTGAGAAAAAAAAAAAAAATGAGTGAGAGCGAGAGTTGGGCGAAATGGTTTCATGCATTTATCCATTTACATAAACTTAAAAACCGAAGACTGGCTACCATCTTCATTTTCTGCAAAATGCCTCCAAAGTTTCCCTTAAGAACTATGCAAGCAAAGATCCTACTCTAAGACTTCAATCGTCGAGCTCAAGGTGAGAACATTTTACGTGAAGGTGACATTCTTCTTCTCTCCTATTTTCCTTTCTTATGCTCCCCATATTCCTCTTGCCAATTTTGATGAGTTCTCTTGAGACGGACTCGACATTTGCTTTTGAAGTCCTGGAGTAAAAGTCTTGGAGCAGAGAACTTTGGGACGTAAATATGTATTTATAGATATTATGAAAATCGATGCAACATAAAAATAATTAAATAAAATTTTATATATTTATGCATAAAACAAATTTTATGACATGAATTTAATTGGACCAACCCTGCATGCCAATCACCCTGGCCCTTCACGCTTCTTGCACGTTGAGCACCCTGGCCCTACATGCTTGGCGTACAGGGAGGATTTTCCCCTAGCACCCTGTTAGAACTTGATATTCTTTTTGCCAATATTTAATGTCAACTCTTTTTCATCTTCATCAAATATATCAGGGAGTACAACTTCCCCCATGCATCAAATTCTTACAAGATGCTCATAAGCAAACCCAATGTGTAGCTATGCCTTGTGCATGGAAACTACGAGTTTATATGTATATAAAAAATATATATATATATAATATGCATAGCTATGCATTACATATATCAATTTAAAAGTCATCAAAAGACAAAAAAAACCATATGCTTGAAAAAAAAAAAAAAAATCTCCTCATTTTGTTGCCCAAAAACCTAACAAAATATGAAAATGAATATTGAAATGGTTGCTTCAAATAAGTAATGTAATTAGAAATTTTAGAAACGAAAATTTAAGAGATTGAGGAATAAGTATTGATGCCATACCTCACTAGCTTGTTTGGCTACATTTACAATTTTAGCAAACAACAATCTTAAATAGAAACCCATTTTTTTTTTTTAAAGAATAACCTGAATATGAAATACACCCTATAAACCATATTTGATTGTAAAGACTTTAAACAATTTGGGTCTAATCAACAAAGAAATAAGCAGAGAACAAAATTATACTTTGCCTCTCAACGCAATCAGAAAAATTACAATTTTTAGTTAATTAAAAACACACAAATATAGTATAATGCGGTCTGAATAATTTAACTTAAATTTTTTATTAACCCCACATGCCTCTAAATAGTCACAAATCAATTCACAAATGATACAAAATATCCAAAACATGTATATTACACTTGCAATTTCAACAAACAACAATCCTATCAAGAAACCCCAAGTTTTTAAGAATAAACTGACTATGAAATACACCCTATAAGCCATATCTCGCATGCTCATGTAAACTATAACATATGCAAAATAAAATGTGTATAATATATACAAAAAACTTAACCAGAAATGATGAAATGGTAAGCCATTTAATCACATTTCAACCCCAATGAGAAAACCCCTTTTTTTTTTTTTTTTTTTCTTCAGAATACACAAACATAAACCAAAACTAAACACAAATACCAGTAAATATTATTGTAAAAACCATTTTCAAGCAACAAAAAACGCATAGACTCCTAATGAGAAAACCCTTCTTGTCAAGCACTAAATGACCCTAATCCTTGCTTCCTTAGCTTAACCCAAAATTTTGAAATGTAGAATCACAACTCAACCATCATAAATAACCTTTCCAAAAATTACAATTATAGGAAAAGAAAAAAAAAAAGCCTAAAGCCAGCGGCAAAAAGATTCACTGACACACATAAAACACAAACACAAACCAAAAGTAAACACAAATACAAGTAAATATTATTGTAAAAACTATTTTCAAACAACAAAAAACAGATAGACTCTCAATGAGAAAACCCTTTCTTTTTTTCATGAACTAATCTTACCTGGAACTTGAGTCAATTGAAGTTCTTCACAGTGAGGAGAGAGGAGATTAAGAGCCTGCTGCTGGGAGATGAAGATGGTAGAGTTTCATGCATTGCATTCTTACTTTAGCCATTAACAATGAACCACGCGCCTCCAACCCACGTAGCTGGGTGTGAGATCATTCATACTACGAATCATTTGTGAATCACTTTTTGTAATTGGCATGCAATATGTCATTATCTTGCCTAACCATTCACGTATATAAGGGTATTGTTTTGTTACGTGGCAAACCATCAACATTTTTTTCCGTTAGTATTGGAGGCGAAATTCAGCCATAATAACGAAAATATAAAACAGATACGAGTGGATTTAATTGAGTATAGATGTACCTAATGAGCACGCTTGACAACAGCAATGTCATTAGCATATGCTGGAAATGTGTAATCATGATATGAAACAGGTGTACTTGATTGGCTTTTTTTCCTTTAGTGATGTAGAAGACTAGAAATTTGGGATTTGGATAGAGATTTAGTCTGGTTTATAGCATCACTCTTAAATAATAATTGATATTAAAACTATATATCTTAAGATTTTAAAATATGAGATTTGTAGATTTTTTAGACATTTTAGTAAAAAATTCATTTATGATTTATATTATTTTTAGTCGTCAGCTTAATTTATGTGACACACCTGGTTTTTTTTTTTTTTTTTTCTTTTTTGGGGGGGGGGAGGAGGGTACCCCGGTGTTCTTGTCAGCTTATGCATACCTCAATTAATCCTTAAGGGAGATTAATGTAACAATCCACCGCTACGGCCTCCCACTTAAATCTTGGGAGCCAAAGAGATTCGAACTTAAGACCGTGCGTCTTAACCACACATCTCATCACTCGTCCTACCATTTGAGCTACCTTAATTAGATTATTATATGGTGACATGTAGGGACCGTCATACAATTTTTTTTTTTTTTTTAATTATAGTTATAGTTTTTGTAACCCCTACCCCATCCCGCCTCCAAAGTTTCCGACAAGGTGGAGACTCAAACTTAGGATATTATCAAGACTAAATGAGTTCTTTTCCATTAGGCCAAACATTTGGAGTAATGTTCGTACAAGTTAACAAATAAACATAAAAAATTAAAAATAACCCATAATTAAAAAAAGTTGATGAAAAATAAATAAATTAGTAATTTAATTTTAATGATCTTTTATTTCTTATTTTTATTTTTCTAATTTTTGTATGTCAAAATATTTCATGGGTTCACAGTAAATTTGCTAAAGGACTAGCAAGGCCCATTAGGCTCATAACATAAAAAAAAAATCCAAAACGGCCCGACGGGAAATTGGGCCGAGTAAGTTGATATGCATATTCCCAAAGTTAATCTCAACCGGAAATCTGAATAAAACAACCATCCCTGCCGTTGGATTTTTTCTTTATAAGCCCTCTTACCCCTCAAACCCTAGGGTTTTTCTCTCGTCTGCCGAAGCCTGTGTGCTCTTCCTCAGTTTCTCTGACAGGTATGCTCGTAATTCTCGTCAGTTTTGCTCTGTTTGGTTGCTAATACAATGCGAGAAAATGAAGGAAAGATCTTGTTTTCTGTATCCTTAGTCTGAGTTTTTTTTTATACCGAGTCTGTTATGTACTGTTTGGTTGCTTGGAAAACGGGAGAAATGGAAAGAAAATTACTTACTATTTTGTTCTTTCTGTAGCTCAAATAGCTTTTAGGTTTTCTTCTTACTCAGCAACTGTAATGTTACTGATTGATAGAATTTGATGTTTTAATTTAATTTTGTTTTATTCTTATCATTTAGGTCTAAAGGAAGCTTAACTAATTATATTTATTCAGTAAAAGATAGCAAGGGATTTACTGATTTGTGTAAAATAACAAAGACTTTTATTATAGGATTTGAAAGATGTACGAGTCTGACAAAAAAATCTTTGTTCTCTCATTCTCTTGTCCAATTCGTTTGTACTTGTTTACACAACTCATTCATAAGGCATTATCAGCACTTATTATTTAGTAAATATAAAATCTATGAGAAGAATAATAAGAGAACAAAAGTGGAAAGCGCTTAAATATATGATACAGTTGTATTGTTTTCTAGATAACTTGGGTTACCTAATAATTTTGCCTTCACTCCCCAGTAATGGGATAAGTGACAATAAAGTATGCGGCAAGCGGTGGGAGCCTATCTCATCACAACATTCTCCCTTGGATTTCCACTTTTTATATATAGTTGTGCATGGCTTTGCTAAGGAAAATTCCATTGGGTTAAAAACATGAGCGTTATATCATGAAAAGTAGTGGAAATCCGAGTGGGGGTATTGTCATGGCGGATTTCCACCACTTCGCATCTTCCTTTCATGCCACTTATTTATACTTTTGGCTACAACTTATTTGTTGCCTAAATGACAACATGCAAAACTGGGATGACCCAAGTTCTATTTATACCTAGGCAAATGCAATTTTATCGTATATGTATTTGAGATCATAAAGGCAAGTTTTCTCAGTTTTCTATTCTTCTTGTAGTATTTGTATCATATAGTGTATGTTTATGTCATAGTACAATATATTCATGAGTATAGCTCTGGAAGAATAATACACTTTTATTGGAGTCATGATCAACTGGGTAATTGTTGCTCCAGGTGAACGTTTAAAATTATTGTGAATGTTCTAGCATAGGTTCAAGATAAGCAGCATGCTCTCTTTTATGTAGTAAAAAACTAAAAAAGAAATGGTTAAGTATCTTCAAAATTTTAAATTTACTGTTAGTGAGAAGCAATTGATTTGGGTATAATATAAATTTCTTATTAATTAATTACTTCCTTGCCTATATTTTATCAGTTGACTCAGAATAGTGAAGATGTTTTCATCAAAGAAGAAGATTCACAAAGATAAAGATGCTGAACCAACTGAATTTGAGGAGTCAGTTGCACAGGTTCTAAATAAACTTTCTTAAAATACACTGGCGAACTCGATGTGAAATTTAAAACATTGGAAATTAGATTTCATTCTTTCTCTCTACTGTTGAAATAGGCACTCTTCGATTTGGAAAATACCAACCAGGAGCTGAAAAGTGACTTAAAGGACTTATATATAAATTCAGCTATGTAAGAAAATGGTTAACTTTCATAGTTAATGCCATTTTGATTCTGGCTCATTTTATGCATGGTACTAATTTGTCCTTCATGCAGGCAAATTGATGTTTCCGGGAACCGGAAGGCTATTGTTGTCCATGTCCCATACAGGTTGAGGAAGGCTTATCGCAAGATTCATGTTAGGCTTGTTAGGGAACTTGAGAAGAAGTTCAGTGGGAAGGTGATCATAGATTACTTGGTTCTCTTAAAATTTGTCTCATTATAAAGCCATCATATAAACCATATGAAATTTTTATTTAGTACTGTATCTGAAAGTGTTATATTGTGCATGGTGCTTATGTGGCTTGAGTTGTGGTTGCTTATAAATGAAGGTGTCGAAAATCTAAAATTTTGTTGCATCATGTTTCATAAGACGCTATTTGGGAAGGAAATTCTGACTGGCTTTATTAGTTGGAATAGTTGATTGATACACTGCTATGTTAATGTTTATTTTATGGTCTTTTATTCTTCTTTTGTTGGAATGCAGTTAGATCGTCTGTAACATTCTTATTTGCATTCATACATCCTGCATCTGAATCTGTCTAAAATAATTTATCTGTCTATGGAATAGCCAAATTATGAGAATGTGAGTTATGCCCAATAATTTCATTTCTAAACGCTGTGAGTGAAATGCAGTAATAACCCTGTTATATTTTCTTCTACAATATTTGTTGATTGTGATTACATTTTTGGCATATGGTAGGATGTGATTTTGATTGCCACCAGGAGGATATTGAGGCCTCCAAAGAAAGGATCTGCTGCTCAGCGTCCCCGCAGCCGCACACTCACTGCTGTGCACGAGGCAATGCTGGAAGATGTTGTATTGCCTGCTGAAATTGTGGGGAAACGTGTAAGATACAGACTTGATGGATCGAAGATAATGAAGGTATGTAGTTATAACCATCTAAATTTAGGAATGATGTTCAGAGAAGTATTATTAGGAAAAAGTTAGGGCAGGCAATGGAGATTCCTAAATTGTTTGGTTGACGCACAGGCCTAATTAATTCCGTAAATTATTTATTAAAAGTGGTCATTTGTAATTATAATTGTTTAGTTGTGTATTTATCTTAATTCTTTCCTTCAATTGACAGGTTTTCTTGGATCCTAAGGAACGCAATAATACCGAGTACAAATTGGAAACATTTGCTGCAGTTTACAGAAAGCTTTCAGGCAAAGAAGTCGTGTTCGAGTTCCCTCTATCAGAGGCTTAGAATATTATAAAGTGCCATGCCACCTTTCAAATGTTTCTTCCCTGAACCTGTTTTACTTGTCATTTTCTAAAATTTTGAAATTTAGGTGTTCTTAGAAAGCAGGATACTGTTACGTTGGATTTTATTTTCGCTGGCTAGTATGATATGTTCAGTGTTGCATTTTGGATTCTGAAGTCTAATATTGTGATGATATTTGCATTTTGCAATCTTATTCATTAACTTGCATTGGTATTTGTGGTATAACAAATATAAAACGTGCCTGACTATTTATGTTTTTCCCAAAAAAAATAAAAATAAATAGTGTTTGAGATACAAGATGTTTCAAAACCGTATAATTGATCCCTACTTTTTTGCAGTCTATTCTCCCTATTTTAATTCCGGCCTAAGTTCTGTTCAACTGCAATCTTGTGTTTTCACCTCTTTTTAGGATACTAAGCCGTCTTAATGTGAGCTTAAAAGTGATTGGAATTCATGAAAAATGTGGCTGGTGGCTAATTGTTTGATACTTTTTAGAATAATATTTCGAAAAAAGTAAAATTGAATGGTTATTATTATGTTGAATTTAGAAATTAACAAAAATATCTTCGTTTGTGTAATTGTTAAATGCCTTTACAATAAAATATTAAAAATTAATAAAAACACTTCTACCGATAGTCAACCATCATTATGGGAAGATAGTCAGAGTTATCGTATCGATACATGATTGGTCAAATTCAATTGATTGTGCGTCAATATGGCTTTTTTCAACCAGATTAATGATGGATCTGACCAGAAAAGATTAGATCTACGGTTAGACCTGGCCGTATTAGGTCGTCAACGATGGCCAATGATATGGCTATCATTGATGGTCAATAACGGTCATATCTTAACCATCGTTCACGACTAGTTATAGCCAGATCTTTGGCCTTAGTCTAGCCTTTTCCAACCAGATCCATTATGGATCTGGTCGAAAAATGCTATATCGGCGCACTACCAGTCAGATTCAACTGGTAATACGTTATTATACTAGATTCCAGCCAGCTTTCGGTGATGGTGACTGGAATTTGGCAAATGTGGGTTGCTGTGGTGTTTTTGTCAATTTCTAAAAAAAAATTTGGGGGTGTTTAATAAATTAACAAATCTAAGGGGTTTAGAATGAATTGAATACAAATTTATGGGATTTAAAAATAATTAAATAATATAGAATAATATTTTGAAAAGAAAAAAATAAATGTGTATTTTGGATAGAATAGGGAATGGAGTAGTGAAAAATGGTGTACAAAGGGCCCTCACTATTCTGTCATTTGCAAGCTCCTATTCAAAAATGCTACACCAATAACAATGGCGACATATCCACACTATCAAAAACCCTTTTTCCAGTTGAGATTAGGGCGGGCGACCAACTTACAGATAAAAAAGAAAAATGAACAGATTGTCTTTGATTTCGGATTATATATTGTCTTCAAATATAGAATATAAACACTGAAGTTAGCATCAACAGAACATCTCCTCAAGAAAAATGAGATGGGCAGATGGCACTCCTGAAGTATATGAAGTTGCATTTGTGTTGTGTCAAGGCTTCTCAGCAATTAGAGAACTTCAACCAGAACCATTGAGCCTATACATATGTGATGGAGACAATTGAGATTACCAAAAACTGGAGTGAGTTTCAGATTACTACCCAATATAACTTGAGAAAGTTTATTGTACAAGCAGAATGTACCTCAAGACAATATTACGAGACCAAGGTACATGGCTCCGCAGAGAAATGCAAAAGATATTAATCCCCTGCAACAAGAAATCATTATAATCAGAGTGATGCAATACATGTTAAACATTTATTAATGTTCATGTTGATGTCCACAAAGAAATAAATCTTCATGTTGATGTCAACCATTAACCACATATTATTTTCTTCTAAATGGCACTTACCAAATGATGCCCCATCCACTACCACTACATGGGCAAGGACACTCTTCTGCAAATTTCTCGGCGTCACTAGAGTGAACTCTTCGTGATATTAAATCATCATATATATCTGCATAAAATGAAAACAGTAGGCGTCACTAACGGCACAAACAGATAGACTGATACCTAGATAAAATCAGTTTTGTTTCAGAAATCATACCATATACAGAAAACAAGCTGTTCATCACACCTGCAGTTAGTAAGCCGTGATTCTTTATGCCATCACAAGAAAAGCATTATAGTGAAATTCACTAAACAATATGGAACCTGAAAAACAAAACTTTATTTACCAATAAAAAGAATGATGTACCGAAGTATGCGGATTTTTGTTGTTTCTTGCAGAACCCATATTACACCAAGGAAAACAACAAAACCTAATATTCAATATCAATATTTACATAAGAATGTGCATATCAGGAAAAGCAAGAATTATATAGGTTATGAAAACACATACCAATACAAAGTCCTCTAAGTGTCCACTGCAGAAACAATAGGAGAGATTTTGTTAAGCACAAATACAAACAAAGAGTAAAAAGTTTTGAGATTGCGTAGATCTTTAAGAGGCCACAAGCAAAAGCACAATAAGAAACCAAATTATTATTAATAAATTTCTTTGAATTTTTTTACAGAAGTGAAATGAGTGCTTCCTTTTTTTTTTTATATATCTGATGAAAAAATAGTTTTAACTTTCATTTTATTTGGTTAATTTGGCATTCCAATTCCAAGTGGGTAAAGTTTTGTGAATTATATTACCATATAAATCTCTAGTATTTTCAGCCTTCACATATTATAGTGCCTTCCACAAATGAAATGAAGAAAAGAGTATGAAATACTTCAGATATCCACAACCACTTACGTTTTTAGCTACACAAAGTACAACAAGCAAAGCAAGAACAAAGCACCCTGCAGCAATTCTTGCAGTAAGAAGATTTGTGGATGCTAGTATCAGTAACATTCCCCAGAAAGACGAACCAAGATCTGGAATGCAACAATAAAGATGAAATTAGTCACAAAGAAACAAGTACAGTTACCTTTGAGGTTTCTGAGCTCAATATTGAATAGGATGCAATCCAGACCATATGTAATGACAAATCCAGAAATACATTTGGAAATTTGTAGTTCCATGTTGGATAAAAGCAAAAGATACAACAAAATGAGAAAAAAGGTCAAGGATAAGAGAAACTACATCCAGCCGGCAAAATACACCAATATATGCCACCGCGTGTTGTTGTGGTTCCACCTTCGTCAGCATGAACCTGGATTCCTTCCACCTACATGCTAAAGTATATGAGCTATAGGGATCCACAAGCGTTTCGTAGATGAAAAAATATCAGTATGTAGTAGCTGCTACCAAATGTAAAAACTACATGAAATCAATAAAGTCACTATGAAATTGAGCATTTAAGAATTTGATCTGCAGCAAGGAAGCTGGAACATTTCCATAATGAGAAGAAGGAAAAAACATTTAGTGAATGCAAAAACCATTTCCTAGCTTAAACTGATCATTTCATTAATTGAGATATTAACTTACCAATAACTGCATCACTACATAAAAGATTGAGACTCAAATAAAGATACAGAATTCAAAGTTTCTTCAGTGCATTTTAAATATTAAAGGGAGGACAAGAAAATGAAGATGCAACAGGCAGCATGGTTGTGATTTAAGTATCTATGACAAATTGATGGTAATGATATAAAGCTTAAAATTGCTCTTACTTCGCCACACGTAAGTTTACAAGCAATCGCATGGCTTGCCTCGTGAAGAAATACTGTCACAAGCTTAAATGGTCTCAGCAGTATTGTCCTCCACAGCTGAAAGCGATAATTAAGAAGATTCAGACCTCAAACACAGAATTGAGAAAACACATTTTAGAAGTACTAACTTAGCAACCCATTCCCACATTAAAATTCCCAAAGTTCCTTACGTATTGCTTTCTATCACCATAAATAACCAATTGATGTTTTCTTCAAAATATTCAATAAATTTCAAGGAACCGAGTTAATATTACACCATAACAGATGTTAACTGAAGCCACAGATTAATTGTAGCTGGATTCTCATAAAATAAATTAGACCAAACTATTTACAATGAAAAACACAAAAGGGAAAAGACTCATTTACCTTAATCAATCAATAGTTTTAAACTGGAAACTATAGTCCATCTAATACTCAATAAAAAATTCTTCCCTTTAAAGCAAAGAAACACAACAACCAAAATTTATGAAGATAAACAATGACAATAAGATATTACTAAAACACCACCATGACAGCTATCTCCTTAACATTTCAATGAGATTTGGTCCATTTGGATCAATGGGGCAGTTTCCCACTTGAAGAAACACAACCTCACTCTGTTAAAACCAATATTATTAATCAAAGAAAAACAAAATTTAAAGTTTTCTTGTTTTAACCAAATGGGGCGTGATTCATCTATGTAATGCAGTCAAGATTTGATGAGCTAAGAGAGCAAAGAGATATATACCGCAAGTATAACCACGGCGCAAACAGAGACGGTAACAAGAAACACAACTTGTTCATGGTGACAGCAGTTTTTGAGCTCCCAGTTGGGCCTCATCTTGGCCTACAAACGATCTCAGAAATAAAGAAAATCCAAGAACCAGTACTGATCTTCTTTGTAGTAGTTCTTTTGTTTGTAATTGTATTGAGAATGAGAGAGAAAGAGGTTTCTCTCTTGCTCTCCCTCGTCTTGAAGGTTTGTGACCAAAATCAAATGGAGTTGGGTTGTGGTGTTTGAGAATTGAGAGTCAATTATTTGAAGTTGACGAGTGGGAAAAATCGTGGAAACCGTTGAAGAAAAACACAGAGCAAAATGGCGTCAAGCATGGGCACTGTCCCACTATTAATTGTTGAAATTTTTTATTTTGTTTTAATAATCATAATATAATAGTTTTATAAAGGACAATTTTATAAGCCTCCCTAATTTTCTTGTAATTACCATTGCCTTTAAATTTTTGGATAGTAGACACAAATCTCCCTGAAATTCGCTAATTGACAAAAATATTAATTTTTAATGGCCAATTAAGTCATTTTAATTCTACCTTTCTTTTTTGAGAAAATTAAAAAATCTAGAATTATAAACATACATGATGCTTGGAATATGAAGTGTGTCGAAAACTTTTGTTAATTAGAGGCGTTCGTGAGTCATGGGTTCTTTGAACATCAATCTATATAATATTTTCAATGATTAGCTTCGGCCAAATGTTCGACCAACATTTTAATTATGCCTCATATTTTATTTTTTCGAAAATGTTTTATGAGAAATTACTGTATTACCCCTGGCCAGTTATTTTAAATCATTAATTAATAGATGTTAAGGGGTTTTTTTTGTTAATTCCCAAACATTTGGGGCTGACTATTACTTTACAAAACGTCTGTCGGTTGTTAGAAGCTTACCATCACTATATAATATAAAACACCTCAGCCAAAGCCTGACTAAGTTGAAATAAAATAATAAACATTGTAAAATCAATTTTCAAAATCTAGAATTGGGTAGCAGTCCCATGATCCTTTGATTTGAACTGAAAATATTATTGCTTTGCTGGCATTAAAACGTAAATTTTGTAAATCTTATGTTCAATTTAATAACAAAATTCAAAAAATAAACTTTATTGTTTGTGTATGACAGCTGAGTCATCGTTGGCAATAGGAATAATGATTGGATTAACCCAGAAGAAAATATTATGAAATAATTACTAGGTTGGGACACAGAATATTATTTTATAGAGTAAACGACTTTTTCTCACTCAAGGTTTGTCTTTATGACATTTTCTCACCCAAAAAGTTTTATAATATCAATATCCCATCCAATGTTTATATAATGTTAATACTTAAAATACATTTTATTTTCTCAATTAACATGCAATGAGTTATTAAGAGTTAGGGTAAGAGAGTTTTTATAGAGTAGAGACCGGTGGATCGAATAGTGGTGACTGATTAAATATTCTTCACCGAAATCAACCAAAAATCATCCAAGAATATAAAACCCTAGTTTTACAATAGCTGACAATCGAGGAAAAATCATATGTCGGAGTGAAAAATATCTTGTAAAGAGGAGACCAGAAGTTCAAATGATGGGAACATATAGAATATTAACTTTGGATTATGAAATGGTATTCTAAAACTTTTTAAGTTGAAAAGGTTAATTAAGGCAAACCTTCGGATGCTGCAATTTTTGACTTAGAAGATAATACTCTTGTGGCACTTTCAGACTTTCCAGGCAATACTAACATTTTCTGGCCACCTCCACCTTGGCTGAAGCACTAACAGTACGTGATTTGCTTCATTCTGAATAGTTTGATACTTTCAGAAGTTTCTATTTTTAATGTAATCTCAGATTGTGCATTTCTGGGAATGGTTTGAAGCTCCATGTCGCTAAGTAATTCTTATTCATCAGATTTAATACAATCCCTGTTTTGTTATTCTCTTTTTGTTGATTGAAGCCTCTATTATAATCATCAAAATTCCCCAGTAATATAATCGTCGTTGAGTACTATAAACAGGCGAAAAGTAAACACACATACGGAAGAGATTTTTTTGTCAAGTAAATAAACACCAGCAGATTCAAGAAACAGCTATTTGCATTCTAATTTTATATTCACTATAGTCTATATATAACATCAAAGCAACTTAAATCATATAACAAATAAAATGAATAATACAAAAAAAATAACTAAAACTTTACACAGCCCTAATTACTCACTATTATGAATGAGATCATCTACCTTCATCAATGGAAGAATAAGAGATGGAGTTTCTGGAAAAATCCTCAACAAAACTGTTACCTCCAGAAGTCCTAGTAACACCGGTGCTGGTACTAGTAGCATTAGTATTTGTATTGGCATCAGTACCAGTTTTAGTGAGAGCAGTAGAAGTGGTAGTTGTCCAACGGCTTGCACGCCCTTGAATTCCAGGTTTACCTGGTCTAGGTAACGTAAACGAATCACTTGAGAGCATGAGGTGAACAGAGTTCATGTCAGGCCTATCTGCAATGCTTTGTTGACAACATAACAAGCCTAGCTGAATGCACATTGCCGCTTCATCACGATTGCACTTTGTAAGGCTTGGATCCACCAGTTCCAGTGGATTCCCCTTTTGGTAAAGTGTCCATGTCTGTATGAGAGAGCAAGAAAAATTAAGCACACTGATTCATGAATACTATCAAACGGGTAAAAGCAACAAATTCCAGATTTGGATTACCAAAAATGGAATCTGAATCAAACATGAACACAATCCAAAATATTTGCAGAGAAATAGATTTGAGATATTTCAGAGTCCATTCCAAGTTACGGTTTCAATAAATATTCCTGTAAAGTCCATGAGAAGAAGACGACAGCAATAGTGCATCCCCCAAAAGTTTGAAACATTACCAGCTCAAATCAAATTCACCAGAAGCTCAAAGGCCTCCATTAATTGTCTCCATGGATTATAAAGGTGCCGCATTTTGGTCTAAGTTAACCTCAGATATCATGCCCTGTTTATTAACCTTATTTATGACAATTGATCATTAGACAATAGCATCGATGGTACCATTACTTTCTGGCTTGGACACGGAGAGAAGGTTCATAAGTGAAGTTACTTTGGGCAGAAGTAAGATCAGATGAATTCTTCATGGAATTAACTTACGTAGTTCAAGAGGTCCACCTTTTCGGCGCCAAGACTCCTATCTTGTTTTTTCTTCCACTACAATCTCTAAGACCAAAACTCCATAGCTGAAAACATCTGTCTTCACAGACAAATATCCATGCAACGCATATTCAGGGGCCATATACCACTGCATCAGCAAAAGATTGAATTACTTCTATTTCTCTTAGCTTCACAAGAAAAGTTGCAATAAAATAGCCAGAAAAACTTGAACCCACATGCAACTAATATTGCTTTGATTGTTAAGTATAATTTACAAGGACACAAAAAAAGTACAGAAACTACTCACTAGGTACCAGATCTTGAATGTATTCACATGGGTGTCTTCCCCAGGAAAGAGCCTTGCCAGGCCAAAATCTGAGATTTTTGGGTTCAATGGCTCATCCAACAGAATATTACTTGCTTTAATGTCTCTGTGAATGATCCTTTCAGGGGCCTCCTCATGCAGGTAGAGAAGACCTCTTGCAACACCTGTAACTATCCGGTATCGTGTTGTCCATCCAGTGATGCAGACTTCTTTTATCTGACAATTTTCACTCTCCAATATTATTCCTACTTTACCAAACATCATATCTAAAATTCAGTCCATGCTTTATGCAAATCCACATGATTGATTTTATTTGTTCTCTTTCTCTTACCAATAGAAAGGTATCGAGCTTTTGTTTGGTAGATACTCATAACAAGCATCTTCTCAGGTCCTTCAGCACAGCAACCGAACAATGTGACCAAGTTTTTGTGCTGAAATTTTCACAACAGCTTCACCTCATTAGTAAATCTCCTCAGCCCCTGTCTGGAGTCTACTGAAAGCTTCTTACCGCTACTTCTTGACCATTTGACATCAATCCCTGAAAAGACGGACTATATTGAATAATTATTTAACAGAAATGCCAACCATCACTCCTACCTTCCCCCAGACAATATAAGTAAAAAAATTCATCATCTCAAACTAGCATAACAATAACTTCTGACATGATGTAATAAAAAGTTCAATGAATAGATTGCAAACTTACTCTGTACTTTTTCCATAATAACTTGAGAGGATTTCATTGAACTCACATTTTAATGAATTATAAGCAAAATCTCTTGGTTTGAAAATAAATGAAAACATCCCCAAAATTATCCAAAACATTTTCTAACATTCATTGCAAATTTCCTTGAACTTCATAAATGGAGCAGCTGCCTCTTGATTATTCTCAAACTAGAGAGACCCCATTCAAAAATTTACCCTGCATCTTTACAAAATACTACATCTTAGAAAACTACCCTTTCGTTATTAAAAAAAAAAAAAAAACTAATTTTCAGTTAAAATATATAAACAAATATAACTTTCAGTCATAATAATAAAAATTAAAATAAACAATAATTCAGTGGAATCGTCGAAAGTCCATATGTCATGTTCCTAATCTATAATAAAAAAGATAACATATAGACAAATGAAAAAACTTACAACAGATTAAATCCACCTTCCCAGTAACAATTCACACATACTTCGTTATTTCAAATTTCACCCAGAAAACACCTCCCACAAATGATTTCAAACGTTCATTAAAATTTTCTGAAATTGGTCCTAACAAGCATTCGAATTACCTTATAAACGGGGCCAAAGCCGCCGTGGCCGAGCTGATTCAACTCAGAGAAAAGTTAGTGGCAATCTGAAGGTAAGGAGTTCGAAGAAGAGTCGAGGAGTCCGCCCCTCGGCTTCATCAACGTCTTTGAGCCTCTTCCCGCAGCAGGAAAGGAAACGGGAGAGAAAATCGTCGAAATTCATGGACAAAGTAACGCACGCAGGTAACGATCATGAGGTTAGAAATCGGACGGCGGAAAATGCGAGAGAGAGCATGGAAAAATGCAGGACTATGGATTGGAAAAGGAGTGTTGTGTTTTTGATAATTTAAGGTTGACTTAGATCCACAAGTCAATGGAATTGTCTACGCATTTATTTTTGGGGTAATTTAAAAAAGGGAACGGACTTATACCTATTCAAAGTTTACTGTATAGACAAATGGTTCAGAGGTTTAGAAATGATAAACACTTATTTTTCGTCTTATTCTATTAGAAATTTACATCTGTTAAAAGATAAAAATGATAAAAAGACTAGGGCTGGTTTGGTAACTTTGGGAATACTACTTTTAGTATTCCCAAAAAAGTTAAACAGTAAATTCCCA